AAAATCACTTTAAAAAGGAGACAAATATGCGGAGTTCTATTTAAAACTCTAAAAAAAACTTTACAATCTCATAATCTGTGACTAACTATAACTTGCTAAATGTTATAGCAAACCAAATGTTGATTTTGAAGTCCGGCAACTAAAGAAAACATCTTTAAATTGCATGGTGCCCATGACATGCTATCTCCTCAATCCAGTTAACTCCTCAATCCATAAATCTCATGTAACAGTAACAAATATTACATCTCTGTATTTTACACAGAAAAATATACACACTTACAAACTCACTTTTTCACAGCACTCTAAGAAAAGAGTTGTTTAATTAAGCCCACTAATGTGAACTGTCAAAATATTCTTAATGAAAACAAAGCGTAATGGGTTAAGAGGCCCAAACTATGAACAAAATAGATTGAGAAATATCAGAACATAATAACCACAAGAAAAGCTCCACATTCAAATACACTGGCTGAGAATAGTGCATGAACACATTGCGGCACAATATTGTCCAATACAACCCGACAAATTAGATCGCCAGGCAAACCACTAAGAATGCACTTCTAGACCGATGGAAGTAAAAACAAGGTAAGGTTGAATAACAAAACATGGCAACTCAATAATATACATAGAAAAGATATGACAATTTCAATAAACTCTTCATTTGGTCAATAATTTAATACTTAATAACACTACACTCCCAATTTTGATTTTTGAAATAAGTGACTGAACTATACACCACCATAAACTTGTGACCTTTTTCAAAAATTTCACACAATACTGTACTTTCATTGATATCTTACACAATTCTTAAAATTTATGACAAATGATTAGGAATGGATGGAATTGGTGAGCAGTTCTTTCTTGTGTGACATTAGAAATGTCATGCAAGTTAATTGATTCAACAAATGAGAAACATTTTTGAAAACCATAACAGTTCCTCTTTCAAGCTTGGATGCATTCTAAAAATCCAGTTTTCAGTCTTCAATGATAAACATTTTGGCATGATTATGTTAAAATGTAGAAAGAGGTACTTAAACAAAGCTTTAAAAATGTATCTGATACACCAAAATGCCAAAGTAAAATTTAAGTAGATCAAAACTGGATATGACTGTTTCTAGTCAAATCCTTCATTCAATTTAATCAACCCCTGGCTGGCTGAAAATTAAAACCCTACAATATCTTTTTTGCTTAAATTAAATTTCATCTCCCAAGTACTGAGAAATCCACTAACACAATTGACGTAGGTTATACATCTTCAATGACTCGGGCAAATTATCACGGTATATTAAACATATATAAAGTGTTTGGTCTTAGTAGATGAAGAATAGATATTACAAAAGGCAAAACTAATGTCCAGAACATTGGTTGAGTCAATGCATTAGCAATATTGTAAATTGGACAATATGGACACTGACTGCTCCCACAAACTTCACAAATGTTAAGTAGATATGTTGGTAGGGAATCAAAAATTGTCTCATTAAATCGTTCTGTAAAAAGAAAAGAAAGTTGTAGTTACTTAGTTAATTTTATGTTTGATCTCTGAACAGTGCAATATGGACTTTGGTCTACTCACCTGGAGCATAGTAATCATATACTCTAACTGGCAAATAACGGGACATGTTGGCCACAGGATGCCATCTCTCAATGGTAAAGTTGATGCATGTGTCATATGTATCAAGCTATAAAAGAGACAGAATTTTCTTTTAAATCACAATTATTTGTTTAATACATGGATGTTTTTTAAAACCACAAAACTCCATGTACTTACGTAATCAAAGTAAAATAAGACTTTTCTTTCCGTATAGCGCGCTCTCTGCAGGTTGCGTACTTGTCTGGAACGAATATACCAATCCAACTTCTGCTGCTGGATAATATATCCCGTAGGGATGGCTACATCTAATACAGCCATACCGGATCTAGTTGATTCAGCTAGATTAGTCCACCTGGGAAGTAAAAGGACAAGTTGGGATTAGCCACAAGAATCTGAAGATAGACAAACAATTACCTTATTAAAAATGTATACAACAACATCAAAATACAAACCTCTGACAACTTGTATAAGATATGTGAGACTGATTCCTGCCATGGAAATTGGCTCTAGTATGGATATCAAATGCTCGAACAGGTGGTTGAGTTTGGAACTTCACAATGTCAACATTGTATTGAACAGTCATTTGAAGAATAGCGTGGCCAGCACCATTCGCTTGCACTTTCACAGTTCCCCAAGCCTCTGGAATCTGAGAAAAATAGGTGTAAAAATGAAATACCTCTTGACAACAGAATGGAGACTACAGTACTAAAGGCAATTCCAGATTGGCAAAGTGGACAAAAATCATTTTTTAAATGTTACAGTTAAGATAAAAATTAGAGTATTCAATGATTTGTCAGATATTTTATTCCAGAGAGGTATGTTTAAGAAACTAAAACACTTAAAATTCTTGTTAAAAATTGATGTGATCCGTCTCTTCACAGATCACATTCGTCCGAATTTTCACAACGCCCTCCTTGTGCGTCCATTTGCACTTCCAAACAATTTGTGATGTCTCTTATTCGCATAAAACAGGCCTCCACAACCAAACTGTTTCATACAGACACCTCTGGAATTCACCTTATGTAAAATCATTATATAGTGTATTACCTCAATTTTTTGGAATGTGGCAAGATTACGTGGATTGACGTGAAGGATTTTTGTCTGACCGGGCAGAGCTGTTGCTTCAATAGTAACAGACAGTTGTGTTACATCTCGCAGTCGCTGACGATTGGTGTACTCAATGAGAGCTTTCATTGCAATTGCAGTGTCTTGTGTTGAGGCCCATCCACCATCGGTCAAACGTTGAGCATTGAGCCATTTCACAATCCGGTCCATCATTAACTCTTGCCTTGCCACATAAACCAACAATGCATATGCTGTTGTTTCAATATTGCCAGAGTCATATTCATAGGGCAACCGTGGTAAAGAGAAAGGCTTTTGATTTTCTAACTTTTGAGGTGGAGCTGGTACTTCAATCTTTCCCCAGTAAAACAATCCATCTGTAATTAATACAAATGGTGTAACAAAATGGTTGACCATACAGAGATACATAAAAATCATAGTTCTGAGAGTATACCTGTTTCTCTTCTATGTCTGGCAAGAATTCCAAATGCAGTCTCAGCTGTTGCTGCTTTGCTTAACATCAATGCATATGCAACAATGGCTACTTCGTATGGTTGTCCAAACTGATCCAATAATTTTATGTTCCTTTCTAACCATGATATGGCTTTGCTTTGAGCGAGTGCTACTTGTGACCCCAAGCCCTAAATAAGAGATTTCATTAGATCAAAAGTCAATTTTCCATAAAAATGTTGTGTACAATGAAAAGAACGAAAAACAAACAACTTACCCCAGATAGATCTTTTACAGTTTCTAAGGTAATGAGAACATGAGCTGTGAGTGAAATATTCCTTGCAATATTGTCATCAGGCCAATGCAAAGAATCATTGACCTTACGATCAGGAAGCCAGGTAACTTCATAAAATGCACCATCCCATGTCTGATGCTTCAAAATCCAGGATACTGCTTTAGAAATGACTTCTGGATCAATATAAATGTAATTTTCCCATTCATAGAAACTGGCTTCTTGAAGGACACGAACTGAATAGGCAGTAAGCCACACACTAGAGGCAGATTGGTTCCTAAGGGGGGAATAAAAATAGGAATTTATTACACTTTTCCAAAGAGTACTTGTGGAATTAAAGATAAAAGAATACTGCCAAGTGGGTGCTAGTACTAACCAGTCGTTACGGAATAAACCAAACGATCCATCCCATTTCATGAAAGACATCTGTCGCTGATACAAAACGTTCATGTAATGGAAAGATTGCTTTTCAAGATGACGATTTCTTTGGTTGGTGTAACGCATGTATAGTGTTGTGTAAAGGTGAGCAGCAAAACTGAAAATAGTCTGCTCGGCACAATCCTGTAAAATATAAATAAAATTAAACATAAAGTTAATAATGATATGACTTTAAAGTCAAACAGATGTTTAAGGTTTGATGAGTAGAGATCTTACCATTGGTAGGCCCATCAAAGATGTGGCATTAACTGGCATGGTAGGGAAAATGGGACCCACAACATCACCAACAAGAGAAACTGTGGCCTTGTTTGAGCCAAAAATATAATAACGATCCTCTTCGTACGGAATAATTGGTGTTTCTGTGATGTTTACATGCATGTATTGTAATACATAGTTACGATTACTGAGATCCAATAAGACGGACTGATGACGATATTGAGGAAGACCATCAGCCTGGAGAAAATTGAATTGAGAAAATGAGAATGCCTTCTGTATATGGACAACTAAATCAAGAGGTATTTCAAGGGTTAATATGTATACTCACCTCAACATGAAGCTTTCTTGTCACAACATCTTTACCAATTAACGAAGATGCCATTAAAGTGACCTCAATATCACCAAGCTTGGTTGGTACAATTGGCACATATACCACAACTGAATCCTGAGCTCTTATAAAGATGAAGAATTGATGTTCTCCAAATGATGTCCGAGGATTGTAAGAGCGAACCTACAAGAACAAAGATAATTGCAGAATTAAAATTGTATCAAATATAAAAATTATTTTTAATATCAAAATCAGATACTACATAAATAGGTATTCATAACTTCACTTACAATTCCATTCATTTCAACATGGACAAATTTATAATCATAGGATCCTCCCAAGACTACTGTAGCTTCAAGGTTTCTGGTCAGATAATTAAATACTGTAACCCTGACACCAACTTGCTCACCTTGCCTACACTTGCTAGGCATTTCAACATTCATGAAGAATGGCAACACTCCCACATACTGCAAGAAAAACAATCAGATGGTTCACAATAACATTTTTATCTAACAGATGAGAAAGCAGTTCATCAACCTTATTAAATTTGATTGAAGAATAAAAGTGGGTTCTACAAAGTCATACCTCTAATGGTGCACGCAGCATTCCAAAACCATAAGTAGGGCTCATACTGAAGGCTGAAACCATCCAGTGGGCTGGGCGATGAGGAACATCAACATCAAAAATGAATCGACCATGAGGACCAATATTGATGTCTTTCCACAACCAGACATTGTCATATTGGCGTTGGATTCTACTGAACCGATACTTGCGGAAGAGTCCAATTTCTGTGCGATTGTAGACAGGACCTGGTACAGAAAGTTTCATAAAGTTCTAATTGTTAGGGAGACAACTTCAGCAAGGGCAATAGAAATAGAAAATATATCAGAAAAACTCACAACCAGCCTCATCAGTGCCATCTTGACAGTCAAACTGTCCATCACACTTCTTTGCAAAGGGATAGCATGCACCATCAAGACATTCACCAAAGCCACGAGATGCATTACAAAATCCTTGACGACGGGTAACAACAACATCAGAAAACACAACAAGTCCCAAATACCTAGAAAAAAAAATTGCAATTCAGATTAGTAAAAGCGAAAAAAACAAAAACAGAGACAGATGCAAGAAAGAAAATAAAACTTTAACATTAGAACACAGCCGGTATTGACTTACTCAAATGTCCTGTTGGCATCAATGCCAAAGGTAGAGGAGGGGAAGTATACAGTGTCATCAGGAAGCCCCTCATGAGACAGCCAGCCGTGGGTGTAAGTGCCATTTGTGTTCTCATCAAAACTAGCCATCTTCTCAATAACCTAAAGGCAACAACATTACTAGATAAATATGTGGATCAATTAAACCCTCTACTTCATATCGATTTTCTTTTTTTAAAATGGGCAACTCATCGTAATGAGCTTTACCTTTCCATATGAAAGTTCATTGCCAGCCTGCATGCTGTAAAAAGCTCTGTCTATACCAGAAAGACCAACATAGGCTCCAGGCTCACCGTAAATGGCAACCTCAACACGCTCACCAGTCCTTGCCTTTCGGTTGTTTATAAACACAGTAAACTAAAAGGAAAAAAATAAATTCAAGTTTAACAACTTAATGCACTGGATAGAGGATTCAAACTTGGGTTAGATAAAGATAACTTACATTATTTCGGGAGATTCCATTAACAGGGAATGTTAGACTGTCAGCAACAACATCACCATAACGTCCAACTTGATAAACCACAATAGTAGTAGCTGGGGCCATTTCAGCACTAAGAGGTACGGCAAATGTGCGAATCGAGTTTTGCATAGTTTCATCTCCAGACAATAAAATAATGCCCTTGGACATTACAATGTAATTAAATGTTTCCATGAAATAGTTACTTTGCACATGGAAAATTGCATACTCTCCAACCTAAACAAATAGGGCAAAAATTAGAAACAAACATTCTACTTAATCCAAATCAAAATAAAAAGTGTTAAACATACCCGTGCATGGCTTGTGGAAGTAGACACCTTAATATGGTGATGCATCGGGGAATAATGGGAGAGTAAGAGTAACTCTGTAATGGCACGATCTCCCTGAGACAGGTATGTAGCCTGAATCCTCAATGACCTTATGTTTGCCAGTTCAAAGTCTTTATTCTTGCCTTCCAGTCCTTCAAAGAAAAAATATTGCAGTAAGAATCACTTGAGCAACTAAAAGACTTTAAAGAATCATTTAAATGTAGCTTACCAAGTTGAGATTTCAGATCTATCTTAAGCTCCCAGACACCATCACCCATTGGCTGAAGAGGCATAGACCTTGGATCCAGGCGACGGGTCCCGCCATTGAATGTGTCTAGATTTGCAGTTATGCGAAGATCACTTCCAAATAATCGTACTTTAGACAAAGGTGAGCCATCGTGGTACGAAACAACAAGCTAAGAAAAAGGAAGAAAACTGTAAAACTGCACCAAAAGAAAAAAAAGAAACATTGAATAAAATAGTGGGTTAATTCTTACATAGGCCTTGAATGGCATAGGGGGCTTGAAGACTTGAGGGGTTCCTCCCATAAATGCCACTTTTAACCTTGACTTATAAATTCTGGATGTAGAGTGGCCTTCTATTACTTCATCCATAAATCTGTCACCAACAGTCGCCTTAACAGTAACTTCAAACCCTTCTTCTGTCAAAGCAGCAGGAAGCATTTCAGCAATTGGATATCTGAAGTGGTACACTCCATAAAAGAATTTCAAATGTGGCAGGCCTCTGTATCGATTCTCAAAAGTTTCTTTTGGGTACCAGAATGGATATGATTCATCAAAAGGGATATATATTTGTCTGGCAGGAGGAGGGCTTCCATAGCCAGGCCTCTGTCTTGGACGAATCTCTGCCACCAGGGTCAAGTTTCCACTGACTGGAGCACCACTGGTGTAATTTGCCATTACTGTACCATGAATAAAGCGGTCATTATCAAAGAAGAATGCTGGCATTGTAACATTGACCTGAAAGGTAGAAAAAATAATAATTCAAAATTCGAGATTAAAAAAAAAAAAAAACACACACAATAAAACAACATAACAAACCAAAAGGGATGGAGAACTTACCTCAAATCTTGTTTGATAATATTCTTCCACAAGGAACTTCTGTTCCTCAATCTGTCCCTGTGCAATAACTTGCACAACCCATTCACCAAAAACGGGTTGGTCAGAAAGAGTATAATCTAAACTGACAGTTCCAAGGTTGGACTAAACATAAACAGAAGAAAAGATTAGAAAATATGATAAGATAGTTCTTTGGACCAAATAAAAGCAATACATCTGGAATGTACCTGTCTTGATAACCATCTCCTCATGATGTGCCTTGAGGGATCTAACATGTAAACATCAATTGCTCCATCGAAAGGTCTCAACTCAGTGTTAATAGGAATAGCTCTGAAGCTTACTGTAAGATTAGAAAAACATATAAAAACATAACACTACAAAACATGTATACCAGATCACTGAGAAAAAAAGAAAAGGCAGCACAAACCTGTTTGTCCCTGCATATACACAGGTCTGTCAGTCTGGATGAAAATAGTCATGGATCTCTGAGAGAAAACTACGTTGGTTTCATTGACAAATGCTACACCTCCCAGCACGCCATCGTATAGACCTTCAACTCGTAACTTATAGTTACCAGGAACACTTTGAGGAGGAACCTATAAATAAAACTCCACATTAATAACAGGGTCGCCTATAACCAGCATACAAAATATACAGTCTTTGCTGAAACTAACCCTCATAATTAACTTTTCAGGAATTCCCTCTTTCACATCCTTGCTATCTGTTGTCAATTCCACCCTATTTCTTGAAATTGAGGCTCGGACTGTGATGGGGAGAGGAGCTTGCAGGACAGTGACAGCGACTGTGTAAATTTGGCCTGGGCGAACCACTTTACTTGCAACCACGAAGTAGGTCCTGAAATAAAATGTAAAATAGGCTCAATAATGCATTTTAATTCAAAATCAGCAAAAACAAAAAGTCTCGTAAAAAGTCTGTGTAAATTAAATAAATAAATAAAAAATGTGTCGTTACTCACGCTTCTCTGATTATGGTGTTGCCCTGCCAATTGTTAAACCAATTGTCACCATCCCAGTTGCCACCGCCGAGGGTGTTGTCCCTTGGGTTGAAGCCGTTGACGTCGAAGGGCGGCAGGTTGGGCGAGCGGCCGGGCCCGAGGCCGCCGCCGGGGACAGCCCCCGGGGGCAGCGGCGGCGGGAAACCGCCCCCCTGAGGCGGCAGCGCACCCGGGGGCGGCGGCGGGCCTGCCCCGTTGAAGAAGGGGTCGTCGAAGCGCGGGGAGACCGGCGGCGGCGGCACCTGCGCGAGTGCGGCCGACACCAGGGCGGCTAGCACCAGCAGCATCGAGACGCAGCACCTGAACAGAGAGAGAGAGCGGGGTCAGTGCACCGGCGAAACCAAAGGGTGGCCGAGAGAGACCTAACACGGATCAGGTACCCTTTTTGAGAGGCTCAAAGTGACAGGAATTGATCCGGGTTAATCTCATTAAAAAATTTCTTCGCGCGCAAACGACTTATTATATGTGCACTTGTATTCAATCCTAAAATGGTAATTTAAAAAAATAAAATAAAAATTATCCCTGTTTGGCAGAGCAATCACCTTACAACACAAAAACAAAATCACTTGGCAAACGTGGTGTTTTTTTGTTTTTTGAGCCAGAATTGCTTTCTTTTTCCGGTGCCATTATTTCAGACGAAACGTAAAAGCGTTGCGGCCCTCCAACTAGAGCCCCACCAGCTCTCTGCGGAAGCATTTACAGAACCTCAAATGACGCACTCCATGAGGTGCGCTTTCCTTAAAAGCCCCCCTTTTCTCCATCTGTTCGGGAGGGAGCGGTTGGGGGGTGGGGGGTGAGATCGTTACGACCGGCGGGGCCAGCGGGGCGGAGATTCAAAGAGCCCCATAGGCCGCGGTGTCCTATGGCCCCGGCCGAGCCTCGCGATGGAGCCCCCGGCGGGGAGCGGAGGACTCACGGAAGTGCCTACTACTGCCGGAATGGGGGAAGAGGGTAGAGGGGTGAGAAAGTGAGGGGAGG